TCCGGGAACCCCCCGCGCTTCCCCAGCCTGTGGCTGCTGGAGCAAGCCCCCGGCCTCTGCGGTGCAGGCTGGCTCATCTCTAGTCCAGCCCATAAGCACCGCTGTAAAGAAGAGAATGGATGTTGTCATTAGACATGAAAAATGCTGAGTGAGATGTGGGGCATTAAACTCTGACGGGCTGAGATACTGCAGTGTTTAAACATCTGAAAGGTTTTACTTCAAACTCTGAAGCACAGCTCAAAACTTCAAAGCTGTCATTCTCAGTTGGTAGACTTTTTTCAGACAGAGAAAGGCTTTGGTGGCTGGCAAGTGGTGTTGGCTTCTTCTGGAGTTAAAAGTGGAGGTTATTTAATGTGCTGATGGGAAATGGCCACTAAGTGGAAATAATTGTTTTAATATGGGTGTGTTAACCATCCTCGAGGTATTTTTATAAATATCCTAGAACAAAAGAGCATGTTTTTTAAAGCTGAATGTAACCACTGCTCCACCTGGGAACAGTTCTTCCCCAGCAACAACACGTAACTCTTCTTATAAAGGGAATTTAAACTTAATTCATCTCAGCAAACTATAGGGCACATGGGAACAAGAAAAACGTAATTATCAGAGCTGGTATTAGCTGTGCTTGTGTTGTGAGGTGCAACCTGTGTTTAGACAGGATTTAGAGACCATTTAGAGCTTGTCACTACAGCTGGTTCCAGCTTTATTGCACAAAAAAACAGACTTAAGTTTTAAATCTGTGCTGACTTGTGTTGAGTTTGTTGCTGATGGCAGCTGCCGCTTTGACAGCTGTGGAAGTTTCCTCTTGAAACCCTGTACGAGCGAGTGCTGCTGTTCCTGGGTCCTGAGTTAGAGCCTGTGGTAACGAGCTTCCAGGCTGCCATTTAGCAGCTCCGATGAAAAGGCAGGCAGGCAGCCTGCGTGCAGTGGGGGGCTGTGCCTCGCCTGCCAGGCTAAGCTCGCTTGCTCGCAAAGCCTGTGAAATTCTGTTACTCGTTTCAACTTTGAGCCACTACCAACCCGACCAGTGATGCAGCGATAAAAGGTTTGATGCCAGTGGCTTGGTACCTGTTCTCTGTAGTATTTATCCCTCTGATAGAGGGGGGTGTGTGTGGATGAGATAAGACAACTATATATGATTGACTGATTTGTAGGATCACGGAGTCAGCAGCAGCCTGTTCCAGAACCCTGCAAAGCTTCACCTGACTCTTGGGACGCTGGTACTTCTGAACGAGCAAGAGATCCAGAAAGCATGTGACCTCCTACAGCGATGCAAAGAGGATTTTGTGGAGTAAGTGATAAAAAAGGGATGTCGTCACCAAGGGCATGAGTGGGGGAAAAGCAGCAAGCTGTCTTTGACAAGGGACAGCGAAGAGCAAAGCAGCTCAATAGTCTATCTCAACTCTAGAAAGTTAGAAAAAGGCTGAAACATTTCAAATGGGAGCAGTAGAAATCACTAAGCAGCCACAAAGACTCTTAACAACATCTCACAGCTCAGCTCAAACCCTCAGCGTTCCCTGAAAACCTGCTCTGCTCGTTTCTCTTTCCCACACGCGTCCCCGTTATTTTTGTGTGAGCAGTTTTTGCTGTTGTCCCCTGCCTGCTGCAGAGGGAGGGACGAGCTCCATTACCTTCGTGCATTGCCTGCAGTGGGCTCTGGCACGCTGCTTCCCTGCTGCCTCAGAGCAGATGCTGAGGTGTCCTTGACATGCATTTCTTGATGCGGGGAGCTGTGTGCAGGGAAGCCAGCATGAGCCGTGTGAGTAATCAGTCTGAAACGTTCAGTGCTGCTCCAGGACTGGGGCTTTCTCGTTGCCTGTTAACACTGAGCTGCAGATGTTAGGGCTTTAACTGCAAGTGTGGTTGAATGACACTGTAATTAGCTTATCTCTGTTCAGCTTAGAAATTGGAGATGGCCTGAGGGATTGGTTTATTTATTTATTTCTGCAAAGCCTTTGCGCATAGAGCACAGATCCTTGATTTTATTTTTTTTTTTATTTATTTATTGCCTCGGTGCATGAAGAATTAGCCACGCTGTGCCAGCTAATATCTGTGGGAATTAATGCGTGGCCAAAATTCATACCTCTGCCTTTAAAATGACGGCTCCAGTTGTTCAGCTGTTGAACAGAAATGCAAGTGTGTTTCCAGGGGAAGGCTCTGCCTGCAGCATTTGGAAAGTGCCAGCTTCCTCACAAGTGGGTTGAACTGAGGCAGACAAAATCTCTACCCTCCATTTCCTTCAGTGGAGGGGGAATCAACACTTGAGTGTAACCTTTAGGTTATTTCCCCTGCCATACCCAAATAAATATACTTTGAAAATTAATTTAGGCTCCCTTCCACCCACGTAAATTTTCATTAGCGATCATTTACTTTTCTAAATGCAGGCAGTGCCATATGAAGGTAGATGTGCCCTTTTTGACCCTTTTTAGAATACATGGCCTCAAATGCTCTCAGTCTCACATGCATGACAGTGTACTTGTGCTGTTTTCTTCCCAGTAAACATAATGGAAGGGGAGCTCGCGCTCTCCTTATTCCACCTGGGAAGCTTCGCTGAGAATCTCAAAAGCAGTCTCTAGGGCAGGCTGAACAGAAGCGAGCAAGGTTAGAGCAAAGTCACGCTCACATTGTTAACTCGTGTTTGTTACTTCTGCCTGCCCAGACACTCCCTGTACTTTTCAGGAGACCTCGGCGTTAAATGAGACAATGGCACTTGCTCACAGGGAGCTTTTGCTGCGGCGCCCTGCCTCCCTGTGATGTTCTGGGGGTAAAGGCAAGGAGGCGGCGTGTTTGGAAGCAGATACACTTCACAGTGTGTTTGCAGGTGTGGGAGTGCATATTATATCCTGCACACATTTTCGGTTTTGCCTTCCTGCAAGAGTAGCTGGAGCTGGTTTTAAAACAGCTCTATTTACTTCCAGCATTTGTAAGTGGATGTTGAAATGTACTTAAAACTGCATTCTGTGTCGAGTCCTTTTTCCAGTGAAAATCAACAAGGTGGAGGCTTTGTGTCACGATTGCTCTCTTCACAGGGAAGACAGGAGCTGCTCTGGAATGAGAACTTGTACCGTTTTATTGCTGATGGGGTTTGGCTATGGGTGATGGCCTGTGAACATTGACAAGTTGACTTAAAACACTGAACGTATGAGTGTAAATGTTTTTACAGTATTTCTTGAGATGATGAGACAATAGCAACTGTAGCCTTTCGAGCTTTAGAAATTAGGGAGCCTTTTTTGTGAGTGAGTTTTTTTCAGTGCAAACAACCTGAAAGATATGGGAAAGAAAAGAAGTCCTCAGTGGAGTTCACTGCCCCATATGATCTGTATGGCATTTAAGTCCCGCTTAAACTCGAAGTTGTGTTTAACTATGGCAAAAAATGTATCTTATGTCAATCCCTTAGTAAAACCAAATATTTAGTGTATGCATAAGGAGTACTATGTGTTGTATTTCGAAAGCAGGTGTGATGTTTTGCTTTTTAACATAAGGGATTTCTTATATTTTAGCCAAATTGCTGGAGGCAAGCCCCTGACCGTGGAGGTGGCAGGAGTGGAGTACATGAACGATGACCCTGCCATGACGGATGTCCTTTATGCCAAGGTCCACATGAAGGATGGCTCGGACAGGTGAGTTCCCCACGCTCCTTTCTTTCATTCCTCCTGGATGTGCCACGGCAGCAGTAGTGGTGTGCCAGAGAAACCCTCTGCCATCTGAAGCTGGTGGGTACTGCTAGCAGTCCTTGGGCCAGCAGTCAGGAAGATGAAGTCATTCTTGCTTCCTAAACCGGTTAAGGCAGTGATCTGTTTGCTCTTTAAATTAGTCACTGGTGGTGCGGCTGAAAGATGTCATTTGTTTCTGTAGCAGTCTGTCAGATTGAATAATGGTGTCGTGGCTTGTGCAGTGATAAGATGGCCAAGGAGATACTGCTGAGATGACTTAGAAGGCAAGACAGCTTGGCCTCTGCTGTCTAGTTCCCCAACATGCCATCCAGATTAATCTGGACAGCCTGGCATATTCTGCAGCACTTAATTACTCTTAAAACCCAGGTACACCAGAAGATCCTCAGAAAAGCATGACTTGGTTACAGAGTTGGGTTTTGTGTCTGTAAGCAGCCTGGAACAGGCGCTGGGTGTGAAATGCCTGTCTTCTGACCAGCTGGTGTGAAATCTCGAAGCCTGGTTGGTGTCAGTGCGTGTATTTGTGCTGTTCGCCACTGTGGCTGATGGCTTTAGCTCTACAAACAGCACTACCTGGGATGTGGCAGTGTCTGGACAGCCTTCCTCCATCTTGTTTTTGACAAGTACATCACCAGTGGCAGCACCGTCTTTTCTCTTAGTGCTTTCTGGAAGACTGGGTAAACGTAAGAACAGTTGTACTCTGTGCTGCCGGTTGTGAGATGGGTGCAGAAGAGGGTAGGGGAATAGCCAAAAGAGCTTTAGCTTTCTGTCCCTGAGCCTTAGCCTTCTCTTTTTCTGGCAGTGCTGCCCTTTTGTGTCTGTTCCCGTTGCTAGAGGACTGCAGGAGCTAGCAGGGGAACACAGAGCAGTGCAGCTGGAGGAGGGAGGCTGTGAGCAGGGACTGGCTCAGGGAAGAAACAACATGTTCTGGCATCTCCTTTCCCCGAGGGCTGAGGAGACAAGGGGAGGCCCCCTGCTTAAAACCGCACTTTGGAGGCTGTGTTGAAGTAAGAGATCGGAAATGGGATAAGGAAATGGGTGGGAAAATGAAAATGTAAGAATTGCTGGGAGGCAGTAGGAATTGAAATCTTTTCCTCTTCTCGGCTTTTCCACTTTGAAGTCTGTCCTACCCTGAAAGAGGTGAGATAAAACAAACAGGGCAGGTGGAGAACCAGGACAAGCTAGAGATCAGCCAGGAGACAGAAGAGAAGTGCAGGGAGAAACAAGGCACAAGCACTCAGAAAGATGAGACGGAGGCAGACACTGGGTGACCCAAATGCCCTTCGGTGGGTTTGTTGTAGAAAGCCTCCAAAGTGTCAGCTCTGAGAGCTGAGGTATGAGCCTCTTCTCCTGAGTCACCGAGCTCTGGATCACCTCTGAGGTGCAGTGCTTGCAAATCTGCTTGCATCTGAAAATAAGTCTGCGACCTGAGGAGCTGGTGGAGAAATTCTGTAGAGCGTAAGTAGGGGCAAAAGTGAGGCAGTGATGTCTGCCTGCATCTGGAGACAGCTCAAATTGTTGGTACTAGCACTGCAGTCTGCTTCGGATGCCAGCCGTATCCGTTTTGCTGAGAACCCACTTAGCCATAGTGCTAGCAGATGATGCTGATGTGCATTAGGGGTGGCAGAGCTGATTTTGGCAGGGGAGAGAAATGAGGTCTTCGAGTGCCTTGAAACTGAAAATGACCCCTACCTGCCCCCTCTGAGAAAGGGCTGATGTCTCCTCTGTCCACCACAGAGATCTATTAGCTGAGGTTTTGACCAAACCCAGATCTTGTGCTTTGCATGGCACCTGGAGGCTCCCAGACTTCTTTTCCACAACACCTTTTTTTGCTTTTTGCATAGCAGTGTGCTCAGAGAGGGCCACGTGATCTTAAGTTTTTTATCCTTGGCCCAGGTTGGTACTGACCTCACCTGCAAATTAATTCATCTGGCACTTCTCCCCTAATCTAATTCCTTAGCTGTTAGCAATCATCCAGAAAACATTTAGCTTTGCAGAGGGAAAAGAAGATATTTTTGTGTTGATGGAGAGCAGTGAAAGCTGCTTTTCCTACCTTTGAGATTCCAGCATCACAGTGTTGGACAAACAGTGATTATAAAGAGAGGACAAATGGTGAACCCTCTGCTTTGTTTTCGGGTCTGCTAGATGGATCATTGCTGAGCAGCTCCATGCACCTTTTGCCTGCTAAAACCTGCTGTGCTTTCCTCAGGGAAATAGGGAAAGCAGTTTCTCAGCTGCAAGGCCAATACTAGAGGAGAGTGGCAGCCACGTGGTTTGCTGTGCTGGATCAGACCGCTGCAGCCCACGTTTAAGGGAGGTGTGTGCCTTCCTGTCTCATGCAAAAGACGTCTTGCTAGCTCTGTATAGTTCTTGGCATGGCTGAGAGGTGGAGTTCCTTCCTGATCTTTGGATGATCTTGATCAGCTTAAGCTATAAAGCAGGAGATTTGATTTACCCTGACTTAGCTTGCATAACTGCAGACAGAATTAGGGGTTGGCAAGCCCTTCTGCACATATAATGGCTCAGACTGAGAGAGGGATCACGCTCTGATGCCTCCCACATGGCAAATAATTTCCATTATAATTCATTCTAATTTGTTTTATTTCCTTGATTAACTTTATAACGTAATGAAGCACCATTTTCACTTGAGCTATTCTCTGTTAATTTGTTTTAGTATTGTCTGTAATGATATTCATTTAAGCTTTGTCATTGCTAATTTTAAAGATCACTGATGTAAAGCCAGAAAGTGGTAGAAAACCATGACAATTGGTAGTTTGAGAGTCTTGAAATGGTCACATGGGGGCTGGTAGCCCGTGAGGGGCAGTACAAAACCGGCGGTGGGATAGGAGCTGGCATCCGGAGCGTGGCAGCCCCAGGCTCTGGGAGCCAGCCTCAGAGAGGCCACGGTCTGCCTCTCCCGCTGCAGCTGAGATGCGAAAGTGGTGGGACCTGGTGGAGCAGAGAGCTGTCTAATCCCTTGGACGTGGTGAGAGAAGCCCAGATTCTTCTGCATAGAGTAATACCCTCTTGCCTTGTTTTCGGGGATGGGAAGCTCTTGTTCTAGCACATCCTTGCTGCTTTTGGTAAGGCTGAGGCACTGCAGAAATTTTGTGGGGGACAGCAGCAGCCTGGAAGTTCTTCAGCTCTTTAGACATAGGACATATGAGCGCATTGCTCTGATCACCTGCCTGCTCCTGCTGCCTATCCTAGGACAGGTCTGCCCGCAGATCCCAGCAGCCACAGCCGCTTTCATCCCTGACCGAGGCCAGACAAGAAGGTGGCAATAAGTCCTTCGATTCTGCTCGCTCAGTAGCTCCAAAGCTGGAGCATTCACCGGGATATGCTCGCTGGGTTTCTGCCCTCTGTCACCACATTCTGGGCTCTCCCAGAAATTAAGCCCAGTGACCGGGTTGCTTATTTGGGACAGAGAGGGTCCGAGATCTGGCCCAGTGCACTGTAGAGGTCGCAGTCCCTGAGCAAAGCAGGTCCTCCAGGAGCCAAGGTGCCTAAGCCCCCCTGGGGGTCTGCAGATTTTAGCCTTTGTAAGAAGAGTCACATTGTGTTCCCTGGCAGTAGAAAGATGCATCCTTCAAGTCCCGATAACATCTGTCACTGCAAACAAGCTCTCTGCTATGCTAAATCTGCCCTTCTTCGTGGAATATTTGCAGCAGAAGTGATCACCAAGGAAGCTTTGCGAAACAGCCAGAACTGTTTGCATTAGAGCTGAATTTTGATGGCTCTGTTCCCTTTCCATCAGAGACTGGCTCCCTTTCCCCGCGTGCGTGCAGAGACTTCATTTCACACATGCTGCCCTCCCTGGCTGAAAAGCAAAAAGCTGATGATGCAGGGGTTTCTCCTTGGTTCACACAGCTCTGTTCTTTCTGGTTTTGCCTTCCCAGATTGCAGGTGATTGCTGATCAACTGGTGGAAAGGTTCGTGGCCTCTGGCCTGATGCTTAAAGAATGGGATAGGGTGAAACTGCATGCTACAGTCATGAACACTCTCTTCAGGAAAGACCCAAGTGGTGCGTATCCCTCATCCTTACTGATAAATGCATTTAAAGTAGTACCTCTGAATGGGAAATGCTTTTGTTGGCTTTTATGTTTCTTTTGTTAAATGTTGTGATTTTTCTTGATCTCAAAAATAACTACAAGCAATCAGCAGAGCTGGAGAAGGCAGGCATGCTTTGAGCACTTTCTGGATCTTTTCTAAGATTCTTTGTCATAGCTTCAGAAGCGCTATCACCCAGTAGCACTTATAAGATCTGGGCCAGAGAGCAATGCATTCAAGTACCGTCTGAGGTCTTGGGCTCTCTGTGCCCCAACGTTAAATTGAAATTCCGTAACAACTTGATGTGCTGTGCTGACCTTTAAACAAGGTGAAAACATGATCCTCTTTGGTCGAGTTAAAGATTGCCCGTTGGTTTAGGAACGCGATTCCAGTGTCATTCTCGTTAAATCAGATTCAGACAGCTATTAGGATGAATATGGGCTATTATTGGGTGTATAGTGTCTGCTGTCCCTGCCAAAAGATTGTCTGCTCTAGCAGTCTGTAGCATCGTTCTTATCGCATTACTTTATAAAGCAGCCTCAGATGCATTGCGTTGAGGGAGGGGCAGTATATTACAGCCTTGTTCTCCGTGTGCAAACATGCGTATGCTCTGGCACTGGTGTGTGGTTTGCAAGCCTTAACAGCACTGCACTAAAGCTTTTTGTAGCTTTCTCTGGCATAGCGGCCTCTGTGCAATGCCGATAAGTTATGTCGAGTATTCTCCAGTTACTGCCTCTGTGAGCCTCTGTATGGACAGTGATAATAGCAGGTGGTTTGTGTTACGGTTTTCTGTGCACCCAGCCGCAGACTTTGGGGATGACTGCTACTGAAGTCAGATAAGCATACTCAGGCAGTAGAAACCCTGAAAAGATGGGGCTTAGCTCTCAAACTGAGCCCTGAAAATCGGTGAACATGTAAGCCCAAAGTGCTGATGTGGCTCTCTGTTAGGGGAGGCACACGGGGAGCTGCGTCTGGCGTTACGAGTCTGTATTCTGACCAACCCCCTGAGGCATGTGAGGCATTCAGACACAATGGTGAGAGCATTACTCAGATAGCCATAGAAGTCGCTTTATATTCAATACAGGATTTGAATAGCGTGCTAGGTGTGAGTGGGACTTCATAGTTAATGCTGGAGATGAAAAAGCAATATTGAATGTGTTCACTGAGTGAGGCAGAGGTCCTGTGGAAAGAACAGATCATGTACTTGGGGATTATATAAAAATCCAGACATGCTCCGGGGAAATGGATCTAAGACGTAGGCATTTGGCAGTTGCTATAGGCCTAGGTTGCTATTCTTAATGTCTGTGTGTGTGGCTGCGTGCCCACCCCACAGAAGCATACACACCACATGTATGTGCTTCCTGGAGCAGGCAGCAGAGGTTTGTATGAGTGCTGTCCGGATTCTGCCTGACATTGTGCTCGCATGGTTAGTCTGGTATTTGGTGCTGTTCCAGGCAATGCAAGCGCTCGTGGTGCTGACTCTCACCCTGGCAGAATGTAGGATTAAAATCAGCCAGAGAGAAGCAGATGTGTTGCACTGAGCCATCAGCCCTACAGAATCACCCTAGCAGTAGCTATGATTTAGGGTCTTTCCTCCAGGTAACATAGGTGATCCCGATAAAGGCACCAATTCCTGTGTATTCAGCCTTGTTCTCTTTAAAACCAAAGTGGAAGTGCTTTTGCACTAAGAACTGGGCAAAGATGGCTTATTAGCTGGCAGCTGACTTTGGGGAGGGAGAGAGTGGGGGGTGAAGTACGGCACACACAGTTCTCCCATCTGAAGCTCATTCTGGTGGTGGCTTTTCTCTTTACAGCTGAAGAGCGAAACAATACAATGACTGGTAAATCATCTTTTAAGGAACGGGAGTCGTTTAATGGCCGAAATATCCTCAAGGTCAGTATGAAACAGTTACGGAAATCAAGCCAGCTGCAGATATTGTATAGCCAAAAGAGGTTGAAACACCTCTTCAAGACTGCTTTTGTCTTAGGCTTATGGGATCTCCTGGGGGGGGGGAAAATCTGTTTAGAAAATAAATAATCCAGATCACTCGTAATTGGGAGCATTACAGTATTTAACAGAAGCGTTCTTAAAGCTGGTGAGGCTCAGATCAGGAGTATGTAGCACGAATGCTAAGTGGGTGTTCGTGTTGTTGTTTACTTCGCTCGTGTTTTACCCTGGAGACTCAGGCTCGTGTCGATTCTCAGCCCACCAGAAAGGAGTACTTTGTTGCTCTTGTTCTACTCACTCACATATATTTATGAAACTAAAACCAACTGCCATTGCACTTACTCTTTTCTTCTGTTTTTTTAATCCCTGCTATTGATTTGCACGGTTTTGCTCCAGAAAAATAACAGATAGCGGTAGGGAGTCCCACCAGCAGGATCTGAGGGCTTTGGCAGTGATCAGAGGGTAGGAAGCAAGATCCCCCAGACCGCGGAGGTGAGTAAGGCTCGAAGGGGAGCATCCTGCAGCCTCCCTGGCTTTGCCCGCCAGGGTCGAGACTGCAGGCAGCCTCTGCTGCTCATCCAGATGGCAGTCTCAGACAGAAGCTGTGGTGCTTGGCCCCTGCAAGCGTCCAGAGAGAAAAGACAGGCGCAGAGAAGTAGAAATGGAAAGCAACACTGGGTTGTAAGCAAATTTGCGATCCTCATTGTGCAAGGGGATTTGTTGCAGGCAGCTATGATAAGAGAGAGATGAGACAATGCATGAATACATTTGGGAACTGATAGAAGATATTCTGGCAACAAAGAGACATGAGAGAGGATGCAGACTGGAGGGAAGTTGGACAGCCCAGAAGGACTTTACGGCACCAGAGGAGGGAAAGGCTGTGTTTTATTTATGTTTACAGTTTTGCTGTATAATGTATTAGGCACTGGATGCATGGGGATCTGAAGGCAGGGAGTGGAACTGATTGATCTCCTCTGCGCAAAGGACAAACAAAGGGACAAAATTAGGTTAAGCTCTCATTGTCCTCAATGCAAGCGCGAGTCTGTGCAAGCGCGGTGTCGTGACTCAGCATCGCCACATGTTGAGTGTTTGGTGTGAGACTGCAGTATTGCAAACTGAAGCAGGAAGGCTACAGCCGTGTTCCCTTTCTTCATGTGACCTGCAAGTTTTGGTTCGCTCCCGGTGTCTGAGAGTCCCTGAGTGCCTGCAGGGACTCAGCTTGCAAGGCGTACGCCCACGCTTCACTTTGCCCTTTGCTCCTTTCTCTTGCCTCTGTTAAACTTGTCCTCAGACTTCAGAGAGACGTAAAATCAAACCATCAGTCTTCCGTAATGCTCTTCATCCAAAAACATTCACGATTTGGAAGGCATTAACGATGCTCCCTCTACTGGTCACACCATTTGTGGACCGTGCTGTGGGGGTCTGAGGATCTGTGGGTCTGGTGGTGTGAGGCGCTGAGAAATGCAACTGCCCTACCTCGGATGGCTACTTCTTATTCTTGCTGCTGTCTGAAATATGAGCCGATGCATTTTTAAAGCTCCTAATTGATTTTGTACTGATGTAGCCAAAAGAGCTGCTGGCTGTTTGGACTGTTGATAATTACTTCAAAGCATGTCTTACCGCAAGAAATGTCATCCTTCTCCCCCACCTCCACTACATTTCCTAACCTGCTCGCTTCATATTTCCCTTTGGTCTCCCACGTGCCTGCAGCAGAACGCCCATTGGCATTAATTAATTACATGAGTCATAAATAGCTCCAGGCTTCTTACCAGAGGAGCCCAGCCTCAGCCAGCCACTGATGCATTCTAGCATGACCTTGCAAGGATGTGCCAGTTCCCTCCCAGCCCCCTTTTATATACATTATTTATCTCCTGCTCAGGGAGGCTGCCCTCTCGCAAAGTGGCTTCATTAACTTTTGCAATAGGATCTAAACGACGGGCTGTTAATGAATATGGCTGCAGTAAGACAGGCTGGCTTGCGGGCACCGTCCCCTTGTAGGTAGAGTGATGTGCCGTGCACGTGTTTCCAGGCAGTGGGACTCTGCAATAGCTGAGTGGCAGTGTTCCCACTTGGAAAGCTGACAAAGCATGGCTACTGGTAGGAGGGCATCAAGTCGGAAAACTCAGGTTCCGTCGCTCTCGTTCCCATTGTGCAGCTACGACCGGCGCTGTCGGGCCAAATGCTTTGCCTAGCGGAGGGCAGGACCGGAGCTGTCGGAGCACAGAGCACCATGGGGACACCTTGGTTCTGCTGTTCCAGTCTGAGGCTCCCCCCGTGGTCAGAGCTGGTGTGTGTGTGTGCAGATGTGCTGGCAGCACATGTTTGCTGATAGCATGCCTGCGTTACCCCAGGCTCCAGCTGGTATTTTGCTTTCAGCAGAACTAATCGGAATTTTATTTAATAATCCTTTGTTCTACCCGTTCCGCAGAGTTAAACATACACTCCTATTTGTGCTAATAAATGGTTGTGCAGGCCAGTACCTTCCCACACTGCTCAGAAAATAGTTCCTGTAGGATGAGTTGCGTTTGGGAGTTTAAATTACTTCTGTCTTGAAGAATACCCATGAGAAAGGCTCCCTGGCCTAGCTGGTGCTGAAAGCCCAAGGGAGTGTGTGCCCCAACAGCTGAGTGATTTGTGTCTCTCATGAAAGTATTAGACGCTTTAGCTTTGTGCTTGTCTAGTCTAGTCCCAAGAAGCTGGGGGTGCTTTATGAACCGCTTCATATGGAGCAATATGTATTTCTTCTAGCGGCTAGCTGATCGACTCCTTTGAACATGCGAGTCACGTACTGGACTCTTGCTCCGGTTGGGAACGAAGTGAATTGTCTCTTGGAGAGTGGAGGGAGGGGGCAGCAATTCACAGCTGAAGGAGAGCAGCAGCTCCTTCGCCGTGAGAGAAGGGTCAGGCCGGCCAGGCGGCCGGGCCCTGGGGAGATGGTGGTTTGGCAGCCCCCCTGCCTTGCCTCCTCCTATGTCCCAGGCGGTGGCTGTGTGCCCTGCGTCGCAGCTGGCCAAGCGGCACAGCCCTGGCACAGAGGCGGCTGGGGCAGCTGCCTGCATCTCCGGAGATGAGGCTTGGCTGCCTCCGGGCTTTTATTTATTTTGCTTACTGAAAAAACTAAGGCTGTGGTGAATAAATAAAAATGCAAAGAAATGCAAAGGTACCACCTGGCCAAAATTTTCTATTATACTTTTGAAGGACAGGAAGGTTTACAGTACGAAGAAAACCACCTGGACTCTCACTGGGTTAAAATGGAATGATTTTTGACTTGAGGTCTGAGGAGTAAAAGGGTGGTCTTTGCCACATTCAAACAAGAGGGAAGCAAATTTTGAGTACAGAAAAAGATGAACCCCGCTGCTTGGCACAGATCTGTGCATTAACAGCTTACAAAATTAAATATTGAGGGAACAGCTACTGAGGTACAACAGCAGAAAGCTGCACATCTTATGTCTTAGGGCATTAGGGGAGACTTTAAGCTGGGATGCAAGACTGGGAACTGGATCAGTCAAGGCAGTGACACATGCTGCCATGCCCTGGTCCAGCAGCGGGACCAGAGCATCCAGGCTGCAGAACTGCTCTGGGAGGGCTTCTAGGTCGGACAAGGTGTAATTCGATGAGGCTTCTTCTCTTTTGAAGCCTGCATACAGGGTATTAAATTACGGGACCATATCTGCTTTCGCTTGGAGCAGGGGGAAAGTGCATTTACTGACTGATATACTGAGGCTAGTGGAGAGCCGATCATAGCAAACAAATCTGGTAGTGTTTCTGTGATCATTTTTATCTTGCTGGGTGAGAATAGTGCAGTGCCTGTGGTGTGTAGTAGTTCAGTTTAAGACATTTGATGCAGTGCTGTATAGAGAGAGACAATGAAAAAGAAAAATCCTGTCCTGGATAAGCCCCCTAGCCCCTCAGAATACCCCAAACCCACCAAGCACTAAACAAATTAATATCTGCCCCTGTGTAGAGCCACCACTACCAGCTCTGCTTGCAGATGAGGAGTGCTTCTCGTGTTCTGCAGCCATCGGTACCTAGGCCTTTTCTGTGTAACTTTTGTTAGTGAATTTAAGGAGACCGAGTCTTTTCCTGATGTATTTTTAAGCTGAGGTGAAATCAAAGGGCCAAAGAACTCGCGTTAGGTGAGATCAAGACTGCCCGGTGTTCAGAAAAGGTAAGAACATCTTGTTATCCTCAGTGAGGTGATAAAAGTGTATATCCAAAGTAGGACTGGCAACTGGAACAAGTACCTAACGGGAGGTGGCTGCTTGGAAAGTTTAGAGTTAAAAATACCAAACAAAAATCCACTGGGGTGAGAACAGACTGAATAAGAGATTGTGGTGCAACATCACTGTATCAGAAATAAGCCAGTGCTTTCCTCGCCTCGGTTTTGCAGAAGAATCAAAAGCAGAAATGAAAGGCTGTAATGCTGCTTTGCAGAGGAGAGGATTTTTGCCTTCAGTTCTGATCCTGCCATTATCGAGGGATACTGAAACGATCGAGGGGGCTCAGCAGTGCACAATTAGAGCAACAGTGGGATGGGAGGATGTGACAGTTGAGCAGATGAGACTGGAGATCAACGCTTGTATGATCTTGGGGGAAAAAAGGAGATTAAATCGGGGTTGCCATGAAAATGCTTTCCTACGAATGATATTCTTCAGGAAAAAAAAGGCTTATTCACATTATTTGCATTTGGTGAAATGGGAATCTGAAGTGGCATTTGAAAAATCAGACTAGTCAATAGAGGGAAAATATCTTTGTTGGAGTGTTTGGGCCTTGGAGCAGAGCAACGAGGCGGCGTTGGAGGTGTTGAGAGAAGGCTGAGACGCCGCACTGAGGAGAACGCAGTGCAGGAAGTGCAGAAGGTTTGTGCTAACTTGCCCGCGTGTGACAGAGGTCCGTTTGGTGACCTTACCGTAAAGGGGAGAAGCCTCTTTTTTTTCCAGAGGTGT